GAGCAGCCCGGGCGGCGGCACCTGGGAAGAAGTGGTTGCTTGGTAGCCCTCGGAGGCAGTGAGGGCACAAAGGCGACATTCATCCTCCGGACTGGCAGCCGGGCCCGGGGTAGGGACAGGGGCAGAGCTCCAGCTTTCCTCCCACTTCCGGGAGATTCTTCCTCCTGCAGGGGGCAGGGGAAGGTGGAGAGGGCCCCGGACAGCCCCTGCACCCGCACCGGTCGCTGTGCGACCTTGGGAACAGCCCCGTCGTTCTCTGAGCTATAACGGACCCGAAGCGAGGAGGCTGGGCCAGCTGCTGTGGAAAGGCGCGCCGGCCACGCGTGACTTCTAGGATTCCCGGGGACTCCCTGGGTTGGGGTCAGGGTGCGCAGAGACCCGCCCTTCTGCATCTTGCCAGCCGGACCCCTGCCTGGCTCAGGATTTAGTTTGCTATTTCTAAGGAGGCAAGGAGGTGAGCCTGGCCCTGCCTCAGCATCTGGGCAGGGGTGAGGGGCAACAGTCTGAGGGTCAAGCCCCCCTCACCAACACCCGAGTCTCCTGCGGCTCGCTGCCAATGGGAGAGCGGAGGTGGGCAGTCCTCGGGGTCAGAGCTGATGGAGTCCAGTCCCAAAGTTTGGAGGCTCCAGCTGGGCAGTTTTCCAGTGCTGGGCAGTGGTGGGGCATATGTCCTGCCATGGCAGCAGTGGGGAGGCCCCAGCTCCAGAAGGCTTTATCCCAGCCCGGGCCTCCCCTGTCCTAGGAAGGCTGGAGAGAGGCTTCCGATTTTCCCGCTGACCTGCAGGGGAAGTCAGGCAGAGAAGGGATTAGGTGGCGATTAAGCCGGAGACCAGGAGCTGGGAAGGGTCCTTGGTGAGGGCTAGTTTCATGCCTGCAGTTTTGGATAAGCAATGTCCCTGGCCGCTGGGGGCTGCTTTGGGGGGTGGGGTGGCTGTGTCCCTGGCGGATCTATGCAAGGGGCAGAGGTGGCCGGTCCTCATTGGTCCCGTCTGGGGCTGGCCTGAGGTCAGTGACCTGGGAAAGGTGCATGGCTTTGAGCAAGAGGCTTGGGAAGAGAATTCGGGGACCTGCAGGATAGTGAGAGGTTGGGGGTGGGTGTGGCCGTCCCACGGGGTCACTGTCCACCTCCCTTGCTTGGCATTACTGTACTTTCCCCCTTCATGGCTCCCTGCTGGCACCATTCTCTACACCAGACCCCCCTCCCTCTGCAGCCTGTGAAGTCCTTCAAGCCCAGCTAAATGCCAGTTTTTAGATGAAGCCCACCCTCTTCCCTCTGCTCCTGGCCCCCAACACCGCTTGTCCTTCTACCAAGGGGGCAAATGACCACAGTGTGAAGAGCGTGTGCTCTGGACTCGGACTGGCCTGAGTTCGCATCTTGGCTCTGCTAGTTATGAGCTGTGTGCCCTTGGACAGGTTACTTAGCTTCTCTGAGCTTCGATCCCTTCATCTGTAAAATGGATCTCTACGGTTTCTGTGTGAGGAGTGAATACAATCTGGAGCCACACTTGTGGTTGCTGGGCCCCTGGGGAATGCTGGGTAAACTGACGCCCTCTACCGTGGTATGTACCAGAGTGCCTGCTAGTGCAATTGGCTGGGGACACATCTGCCTGGCCACCAGCGAGGCAGGGCCGGTGTCCTACTCCCTGCTCACCTCCTATCCTGCTGCCTGGCACCCCCTGGCCAGGCAGAGCACCCATGCAGAGCAAGCGCTCAGTCAGTGTCTGCAGAGTTGGACCGTGTTAAAGAGAGGCCCAGCCAAGGCCCCTGCAGAGGGTCCTGAGCAGAGGGCGGTCAGGGTGGGGCCATCTACTCACCCCGCTGCCTCTCGCCACAGTTCCGGGAGAATGTCCAGGACGTGCTGCCCACCCTGCCGAACCCGGATGACTATTTCCTCCTGCGCTGGCTCCGAGGTGGGTGACCGGGGCAGGGGCTTGCGCTGGGTAACAGAACGGCACCCTCTGGAAAGCCTGCCCCAGCAACTTTTAGAGCCAGCAGTGACATAACCCCAACCCTCCTATGGGACAGACAGAGGCACACAGGCTCGGGGAGGGAAGTGACTTGCCCAAGTCACACTGAGTGAGCCACAGGCAGAGAGGAGACCAAAGCCAGGTCTGTGACTCAGCCTGGCACTCTCCTCGCCCACTCCATCAGTCCAGGCTGCTGATGGACTTGGGGGCACGGGCTAAAGAGCAGCAAAGCCGAGAAAGGCCACAGCCATGTGGGAAGCCAGAGGCAGAGCCAGGTTTAGAATCAGAGTCCTGGTCCCAGCCTGGTCCTCGGCTGCCTCTGTGCCCTGCTGGGATGTAGACCTCCTGCTGCCGGTAGAAAATGGGGACAGCGGTAACTCCGTAACTCGGGGGACTCTAGGCAGCTTGAAGGAGGAGCAGTGTGCTTGGGGAATGTGGGGAACTCCGCCTCACTCTCCTCAAAGCACTGCGAGGCTCCTGTGCCCAAGTGCCAGCTCCAGCTCTGCCCTGGCCTGGCTGTGGCACCTGGTCTAGGGACAGACATCTCCCTAGGTTCCTCCTCTGGGAGGGCAGGATGAGACAGGACGCCCTGCTATTGCCAGATAGGACGTGACGGCTGTGCGCTCAGTGGTGACATGTACATCTTTCTCCAAGCGTCGGGATCAAACTCAGACCTGCCCCCCAATTCTGAAAGCTTCCATTCTCTCCTTTCTCTTCTCTTGTGATTCAAGTCGTGCACTATCCTCCCTGCTTCTTTTTTTTTAAAGAATTATTTTTATTTAATTTTATTTATTCATTAATTTTAGTTTTTTAATTTGACCAAAGAGAGGCACATGGGGGTGGGGTAGGAGAAAGCAAGCTGCCAGGTCCGGGACTTGAACCATTGTTGTTAGCCATGTGGGAGTGTCCAACACCTTAACAGCCATGCCACCTGCTGGTTCCCCTTCCCTGCTGCTGCTTCTTAATTTTTTTTTCTTAGATGTTTTTGCTATTGGGGGTGTGCGCTCACCTGAAAGACAGAGAGAGACAGAGAGACAGAAAGCGAGAAATCACCCCCCAGGGGGGATGGCCATGCCGCAATCTCTTCTCCTCCATTCTCCTCTCGGGATCTTGGGCATGCACACACATGTGCCCGGTGTGAGTTTAAGCCATCAGGTCTGGGACTTGAACCACGGTTGACTACATGGGAGTCCAGCGACATAGCCATTATGCCAACTGCTGGTCTTGACTGCCTGCTTCTTCTGACACACTTTTTTTTATGTGTATAGGGACATTTTTACCAGACATAGAAATAATAAAGGAAACTTCCCTGTGTTAGGTGAGGAGAGTTTAAGCTGTGATATAGAATCATATGCCAACATATTAAAGCATAAATCATACCCTATTATTTATCTATTGGACACATGTGCATGACCTAGGAGTCGTAGGACAGGTGAAGAGATGTACTTTCCTTTGCCTTCTGGATTTTTTTTATTTTTCTTTTTTCACTACTATAGGGCATGTGTGCTCTCCAGAGAAAGGCAGAGAGAGAGAGAGAGAGAGGGAGAGAGAAAGAAGAAAAGCGAGAAATCATCCCCGAGAGGATGCCACACTACAATCCCTTCTCCACTCTCCTCTTGGGATTTTGGGCAAGCACACACACATGCCTGGTGCGATTTTCAGGCCGGTGAGTCTGGGACTTGAACCATGAAGTCGACCATATGGGAGTCTAGCACCTTAACCCTCATTCCACCTGCTATCCCAGTCTTCTGGAATGTACAAAAAAGTTTATTTCTTACTTGAGAGAGAAAGAGGCGGCACCCTCAACAGGGTCCTGGTACGGCGATCCACTTTCAGCCTCAGGCAGCCTGGATGGTGGGCGCACGCGTGCCTGGTGTGCTCAGGGCAATCTCCAGACACAAACCAGCAACCTCTCCTTGTGGGTTTGCCTTGTGGTCGCTGCAGCACTGTCCAGCCCCCTGCTTTCCAGAAATTTCATGGAGCTGCATATTCTTGAGGGATTACTAGCAGACACCCCAGTGCAGGTTCATTCATGAGAACCACCTGGGGCTTCATGTGCCTCCCTCTGGAAGTGTCACTTGTGCTCTTCCCCCAAAAAGCTTTGGTCCCTCCCCCCACCCTCCAGCCTGCCAGCGGGTGGAGGGGCAGAGTGGGGGTGGCAGTGGAGTCAGTCCAGGCTGGAGGAAATTTTGGCCCAGCATTTGCTGAAGGGCTGTAGCTAGAAGCAGGTGGGTGGAGAGAGTGGGAAGGCAGTGGCCTCCTTAAAGGGCCAGCTGCAAGATGATCAAACTAAGGAGCTGCTGGTAGGTGGAGAAGTGTGGTTTCACGAGTCGTTGAATCGTTGGACAACTACGGAGCTGGGGTCCTGACAGCTGGTCTCCCAGGCACCCTCGATTCCTGAGTCCCGGGCTAAGCTCTCTTTGTATAAGGCATGAGGGTTCGCCAAGTACATTTATTAGGCACAATCTACCCCCTCAGAGGAATGGCAAGAGTGTGGTCATCTTCATTTGCCAGGTGAGAAAACTGAGGCTCAGAGAGGGGAGAGAACTTACCTGAAGGCATCCAGCAAATGTGAGTGGGAAGCAGAATGAGGGCAGAAACCTAGGGCTCCAGGTTCCCAGGCTAGCATCCTTCCCAGTAAGTCACCAATGTCCCCCTGAAGCCAAGCTCAGTCGCTTACAATAGAGAAAGTGTCTCTGCATTTCATTCGTGCCTCAGTTTCTGGGGCAAGCACTCAGACCTGGTCAAACCCTATGACAAATTTCAATGTATTGTAGTTACCTTAAGCAAACAAACAAAAAAAACTTTCTCTTTCTCCTTTTGATTTCAAAGGAGACATCTGCAAGCCATACACCAGCAGAATGTCTTTCTCCAACCCAGGTGTGAGCTTGGGTTCTTCTCCTTCCCATTTTTCCCCAGTGTGGGGTTCAGCTTCTGCCCCAGGCATAAGAGCAGCTACACAAGTCTCCACTCCCTACCCCTGGCTGGGGCTGAGCTCTGGTTACCCCAGCAAGGAGGATCGGACAGCAAGAAAAACCAAGGAGGTGGGGCCGGCTCTGTGACACAGTACTTAAGCACTGTGTGAAGGAAGCCAGGTCTCATACGGCCAACCAGGGTTCAAGTCCTGGCCCCAGCGGCTTATGCACTGGGCGCACCAGCACATGCCCAGGATCCCGATGAGAATGGAGGCTTGGAAGAAAAAGGATTGCATGTGACTAGGCCCCGTGGTGGAGGTGGTGCTTTCTCTCTCTCTCTTTCTCTCTCTCCTCTCTCATAGATGTGCATGCACCCCCTGGCACCAAACAAATGAAAAAACAGATAACCAAGGAGATGGCAGAAACCCTGTGAAGAAAGCAGGGCAGGACCAACTCTCCACATTGTACAGGACTAGAGATGAGAAACCAGTATGCTTCTGGGCTGGGCTTTCTCTTGCTCTCTTTTTTTTAGATTTCTGCCATAGGGTACATGCACTCGCTGCAGAGAGACAGAGGGAAAGTGAGAAATCACCCCCCAGTGGGATGGCCATGCCACAATCCCTTTTCTTCCACTCTCCTCTTGGTATTTTGGAAATGCATGTGCACTCACCCAGTGTATTTTTCTTTCCTTTAAAAATATGTTCTAAAATTATTTATTTTAGGAACCAGCAGTTGGCGTAATGGTTACGTTGCTGGACTCCCATGCAGTCGACCAGGGTTTGAGTCCTGGACCTGGTGGCTTAAACTCACACCAGGCGCATGTGCATGTGTGCCCAAGATCACAAGAGGAGAATGGAGGAGAAGGGATTGTGGCATGCCCATCCCCCCTTGGGGGTGGTTTCTTCCTTTTTGTCTTTCTGTCTCTTTCTGACGAGCGCATGCCTCCTATAGCAAAAACCTCTCAAAAATATTTCTTTTATAATGTGTGTGTGTGTATATATATATATAAAGTTTGTTATAGGACACTTGTGCTCACCAGACAGAAACAGACAGAAACAGAGCGAAAGAGAGCAAGTGGGAAAGCAAGCCACCAGGTCCAGGACTCAGATCACACTGTTGGCCCTATGGGATCCAGTGCCTTAACTACCACGCCACCTGCTGAGCTCTGGGCTGGACTCTCTGGTAGTACTCCATGACATACTTTGAGCTGGCCCTGACCAAGCATGGGGAGCCCTGGAGAAGCCTGACTCAGCAGGCAGGTGGAGGCACCAGGTGGGAAACTGCTGGGAGCACAAGGCACCTCAGGGTCAGCCCTTGCAGGAGGGCCTGGATGTTGGAACCTAGCAGATAAGGGTTAATTGGGCAGCCTCCCCCAAGATAAGGGGGCTCACAGTTCATCACCACTCCTGTTCCCTAGAAGATAAGGGTTCTCCTCACAGGAGGGTGTCTAGCCTACGGAAGATTCCTATTTTTGTGGCCCAATTCTCCCATCCTGAGAGGATGTTGCCTTGAGTCTTCCAGATGTTTTTAGTGTATTCCATGATTTGGTCAGAGTTGTGCCGTATTTTATCCAAGGTCAAAGAGAGAACTGGAAGAACTAGGATGCAAACCTAGATGATACTCTTCTACACGCTGCTCAGTGCTGCCACAAAGGCATGGGAAAGTAGAATCACAGGGAACATCCCAAGAGAGAAGACCAGTCAGTTCTGCTGACTGTGTCCAGCACCAATGATAGATATGGCACTGGTTAAATCTCTTGATGCACCCTCTGGGCCCAGGAGAGAAAACTGGATTTCATGATAGCAGAGTCAGGGAATGTGCTCGGCCACTCCCGGAGAGTGATGATTAAGAGAACGGTGACAGTCCAAAGGGCAGCAGTCTGGCCCAGGTTCTAGGGCTGTCAGCAGATCTAGATGGCGATCAATCCACAGAGGACATCCAGCTGGGAGGGACAGTTCATAGGTCAGGTGGCAAAATTAGTCAGAATATGGGTCTCAGAAACTCTGGAAGGGTTGAGATGAAGCTGACAATAATAAGATGAAATTGGATCAGGCAGGATCTAATGTCTCACCTCTCCATATACAGAATGGAGGCTTAGCAACAGCACAGGTGAAAAGGATTTGGGGTTTCAGTTGACTTTATGCTCCACTTGAGTTAAGAGTATGCCTCCTGTAAGGAAGTTCTTAGACAAGACCAGGTGCTATGGCTGGCTATGGACAACACAGTCAAAGAGAGACATTGGTGAATTGGAAAACATCCAAAGGGAAGAGATTGGGATGGACTTGAGACCAAGCTATGAAGAATGGCTGAAGGCACCAAGGATGGGCAGCATGAGAATAGGGAAGGCATATTCAGGGTGACAGCATAGAATTTATCAGTATCACAAGGGTTGTCATGTGGCTGAGGAAGCAACTCTACTCTCTGAGCATCTCTGCAGTGACAGTGAAAACTGAGTGCAAATGGCAGCTCTGATTATATGGGAGCAGGTGGCATTAGTGGGCAGTGAGGTCTTGATATTCAAGCTTGAGCAGGACAACTTATTGGGGTTTATGCATAAGATATAGAGTTGACATAGGTGAACTTAATTCTGCAACATTTAATAACATTGGGAGGAAGGCCTTTTGTGTCTTTTTAGGGTACCTGTGGATCCTCTAAGTCATGACTTAAAAGGAGACATATCAACCCCTCTGCCCCACTGGAATATTCTACCAGGCAGCTATGCTCATCTTTGAACTATAGGTCAAGTTCTCAGGACTGGATGTTAGACTATAGAGGAGATAAACTTTGTCTGTGTAATTGGGAAGGCCAAATGATAAAGGAGTCCAGGGTTCACTTTCCCTGAGAGGAAATAGGCCCTTTCACCCAATCACACCCCCTACAGTAAAAGTCTTGACTCTGAAGTTGTGCTGCCAACTGCCCTAAACCTCAACCCATTCTGCCCATAACCCAGTGGCTGTAGAGCTCCAGAAGCCCCCAGTCCTCCTATTAGCTTCTGCGTGTAGGATTGCCCGAGAATCAGCTGAGGAGATGACTGAGGGGAGCTGGCTCTAGCATGGGAACAGGGAAATCTTTCCATCCTTAGACACCTGTTGGTTGGCCTTACTCTGATCATGTTTCCCTATTACAGCAAGAAGCTTCGACCTGCAGAAGTCAGAGGCCATGCTCCGGAAGGTGAGAACCATTTGGCTCCAAATTCCATCTGGCCTCATACCTTGCTTGGACTTCTTTTGTGGTCCCCCTCCCCCGCCACTCTGATCACAGCGTTTGGCTTGTGTGACATATCTGAGTATTAGCTGGCCACTGTTCTTATCCCCGGGGACAAAGCGCATTCCCGTCTCTGAAAACACAGAGCTTTCATAGTTCTGGGCCAGTCAAGAATGATAATCTGTTCTGCTGAGATCTCCAAACAGGCCAGGCCTTCTTTTCCATTCCCGCCTGTTGCCATCTAGTGACCACCTGTGGTCTGGTCCTCTGTTCATGCTGGGGTTTATTGCTGGATGCCTGTTAAGCCCTGGCCCTTACCCCACCACTTTTACTTATTTAATTTGCTATAGGATGTGGGCACTTGCTGGAGACAGAGAGAGAAGGAAAGTGAGAAAGCATCCCCCATGGGGGATGGTCACACCACGATCTCTTTTCCCCACTTCTCCTTTTGGGACTTTGGCCATAAGTACACATGTGCTCAGCATGTTTCTCAAGCTACCGGGTCCAGGATTTGAACTGCAATGTGAGCCATGTGAAATTCATCATCCTTAACCACTGTGCCTTGGACTGGTTCACCTACCCCTCTTAAAAATCTCCCATTGTGTTTTCGCAGCATGTGGAGTTTCGAAAGCAAAAGGACATTGACAACATCATTAGCTGGCAGCCTCCAGAGGTGAGGACAAATTATCCTGCTCCATTCCTCTGCCATGCCTACTAGACCCACGACCTGGGTCTATTGGACTGGAACCTTCAGAGGAAAGGTCAATGCCAAGTGAGCCTAGATGGTTCTTAGAATGGGTATCCATCAGTTTGGCACCCAGGGGAGGGATGTAGAAGGAGATAGTGAGAAAACCAATAGGAAGCCCTGTGATCCAGGGAAGGTATGGGTGCCCAGGGCCTGGTGACCAAGTGTCTCTTCAACGTCTTTGCCCAGGTGATCCAACAGTACTTGGCAGGGGGCATGTGCGGCTATGACCTGGATGGCTGCCCAGTCTGGTATGATATCATTGGACCTTTGGATGCCAAGGGTCTGCTGTTCTCAGCCACCAAACAGGACCTACTCAGGACCAAGATGCGGGACTGTGAGCTGCTGCTGCAGGAATGTGCTCACCAGACTGCAAAGGTGAGGGGGCAACTGCGGTCGACTACATGAGAGTCACCATCCCCTGCGGGGGAGGAGGGGTGATTTCTTGCTTTCTGTCTCTCTGTCCCTCTGGTGAGCACATATGCCCTATAGCAAAAATCTCTAAAAAATATTGATTTAAAAAAAAAACTCACTGAAGGCCAGCTGGTGGCGTGGTGGTTAAGGTAGCTGGATCCCACATGACTGCAACTATGCAGCTGGAGTCCCGGACCCAACAGCTTGAAAATCATGCTGGGTGTTTGTGTGTACATGTCTAAAATCCTGAGAGGAGAATGGAGGAGAAGGGACTGCAGCATGGCTATCTCCGCTTGGGGATGCTTTCTTGCTTTCTCTTTCTTTCTGTCCTTCTCTGGTGACTGCACACATCCTATGGCAAATTAAAAAACAAAAACAAAAACAAATATTTCGCTACATAGTGTTATTGTTGCCATTTAGCTGGGGACCAGTGAAATCTTTATCACGGTCCAGTCTACCCTAGGACAAGTGTTTGGGTACCACTGGTGTAGACAGTCTCAGATTCCGTGCTTCTCTAACCCTGCATTGCTATTAGATAAGGACAACCAAGTCTCTTCCTGAGAAAATGACTGCAGAGCAAGCTGAATTCACCGCCATGGTCTCCTCTCCTTCCTGTCTCTCAGCAGTTGTAAAGATCCGTGAAATGATGTGATAAAATTTAGGAACATTCCAATAATGTCACCTGCAAATGTTCCCTGAAAGAATACTACAGGTGGAGTAACCCTTATCTGAAAAATTTGAAATTCAAAGTGCTCCAGAATCGTGGGACCAGCCAGCAGATGGTGAAGCAGTTACATCACTGGACTCCCACATGGCCAATCGCAGTTCGAGTCTCAGACCTGGTGGCTTGAAATGCCAGGCATGTGTGCATGTGTGCCCCACATCCTGGGAGGTGAATGGAGAAGAATGGATTTCAATGTAAGGGGGTGATTTCTCACTTTTCCTCTCTGCCTCTGGCTTCCTCTTTCTCCCACAAGTGGATGCACCCTCAGGCAAAAAGTTCTAAAAACAAAAACAAAATGCTCCAAAATCTGTTGTTTTTGTTTGTTTGTTTTGCTGTAGGGTGCATGCACTTGCTGGAGAGAGATAGAGAGGGAAAGTGATCAAGTGCCCCTCGGGGGAAATGACCACACCACAATGCCTTCTTCTCCTCCACTGTCCCTTTAGAGACAAAATCAGAAAGATTTTTAAGGTGCCAGAGAAAGGGAAAGTGAGAAATCACCTCCCACGGTGTGTGTGTGTGTGTGTGTGTGTGTGTGTGTGTGTGTGTGTGTGTGACCACACCACAGTCCTTTTATTTTCCTCCTGGGATTTTGGACATGTAAGCACACGTGTTGGGTGTGATTTTTAAGCCTCCAGGTCTGGGCCTTGAATTGCAGTCGGCCATGTGGGATTCTAGCACCTTAATCATCATGCCACCTGCTGGTCCCCAGTGGTCCCCAAATCAGAAGTTTTAATTGCCAGAGGGTGCATGCACTTGCCAGAGAGTGACAGAGAGCTACAAATAGAAAGTGAGAGGAACAGGGAGAAAGCACCCCTTAATTGGGTGTGATCACACTACCGTCCCTCCTCCTCCATCTCTCTGTAGAGATTTTGGGTACACCTGGACATATGCCCAGTGTGCTGGACCAAGCTGCCTGGGCTGGACCTTGAACCATGGTTGGCCACGTGGAATCTGGCTCCCTTAACCACCAGTCTATGAGGCTATCCCCAAATCAGTGATAGAGAGAGAGGAAGAAAATGAGAAATCACCCCTAAAAGAGGATGGCCACACTGCAGTTCCTTCTCCCAGCATGTTTTTTGAGCCACTGGGTCCAGGACTCAAACTGCATCGTTGCCATGTGGGATCCAGCTGCCTTAACCACCATGTTCCCTGGCTGGCTGGCCCATATATACATTTTTTAAAATGAAAAATAAATTACCTTTAAGGGTCAGCCCAATGGTCTAGTGGTTAAGGGAGCTGGAATCCACATGGCCAATCATGGTTTGAATTCCAGCCCTGGCAGCTTGAAAAACATGCTGGGTGTGTGTGTATGCATGCCTTAAATCCTGACAGGATGGAAAAATGAAGGGATTGTGGCATGACCACGCTCCACAGGGGAAGGGGTGTTTTCTCCCTCTTCCACTCCTCTTCTCTCTCTGGCGAGTACATGTACTCTCTGATGACTGAAAAGAAAAAGTAAACAAACAAAAAAATTACCTTCAGGCTATGTATACAGGGGACTTCAAAATGTTCATGGAAAAACAGAATTAAAGTACAAGTTTGCGTGGGTGCAAACTTTTTAAATTCATGCATTTTTTTTTTAAATTTTGTATTTCCCATGAACTTTTCAAGGACTCTTAATATAAGGTGTACAGGAAACATAAAAAAAAAAATCATTTTCCAGCTTGGATCCTATCCCTGAGGTATCTTAATATTGTATGCAAATGATTTAAAATCTGAAATTCGAAATACTTCTGGTCTGGAACATTCCACAAGGGATATTCCGCCTGTCTGCAGAGTCCCCAGTGGGGGTTGTGGCTGGGGATGCAGGAAGTTTAGACATGGATGCACAGAGAGTGTCTATGCCTGAGCCAGAGGGCTACACAGGTGCCATCTGGGTGCCGCACACAGTATGTGGCAAGTCAGGAAGGAGGAGGCCATCAGGCCGAACTGCAGAACAGAAGGGACCACAGTGTCACCTGGATCTGCCCAGTTTGCTCAATGAGAACACTGACCAAGGCAGGAAGAGTGATATGCTGGGTCCACGATTCAGGCCTGGGGGTATTATCTGGATTGGGAAGACTTCAGGTGTAGCATTTGCCCTGAACCTGGGCTGCTGCAGGGGGAGAGCCTGCTCCCACTCCCCCCTCCATTCTGTGTTCCCTGCAGTTGGGGAAGAAGGTGGAGACCATCACCATGATTTATGACTGTGAAGGGCTTGGCCTCAAACACCTCTGGAAGCCTGCTGTGGAAGCCTATGGAGAGGTGAGGGGCAGGGGTGAGGAGGAGAAAAGGCAGAGGGAGGGGGAAGAGGAGCCGGGCCCCTAGCTAAGCTGCCCGGTGGGAGGGTGAGGCGATGGACAGATTCTGGCCTGGAGGAAGCGGCCTCTCTCCTTGGCACAGGGTCTGCACTTTCAGGAATCAGAGTGATTTTGTTTCTACAGTTTCTCTGCATGTTTGAGGAAAATTATCCCGAAACACTGAAGCGTCTTTTTGTTGTTAAAGGTAAGGGGGCAGTTTCCTACGCAGAAACCAAATGGGATCGAGAGACCATAAATACCACTGGGGCAGACTAAAGAGAGAAGAATGGGGTGGGCCCTTAGAGGGGGCTGAGGTCCAGTTTGGAAGACTGACCCCTTGACGATGGCAGCCGCTTTTCAGTTTGCAGAGCTTTACTAAAATGTGTCACCTTCTTGGAGCCACTCAGCCCAATGAGATGGGGAGAGCCCACTTACTTGATGGGCCCTACTGCACGGATGGGGAAGTGGGCCTCGAAGAGGTGCCCGTGCTGACCTTCACAACCTGGGCTGCCTGTGGGGCAGGAGGGCTGAGAGGACACCCTGAGGGACAGCCTGGGCACTGTTTCTGGCCTCACGTCACCTGCTGTCTGTTCCAGCCCCCAAGCTATTCCCTGTGGCTTATAACCTCATCAAACCCTTCCTGAGTGAGGACACTCGTAAGAAGATCATGGTCTTGGGAGGTGAGTAGCCCAGACTCTACTCACTCCACAGCGTGGTCTGTGACCCCACTGGATGAGGTTTAGGAAGTGTGACCACAGCCACCAAGGCGAAGGCTCCCTCTGCTGGTTTGGTGGCAGGGTCACCCAGAACAAGCTGGGCAGAACTGAGGCCTTCCTATTTCCCCCCAAATATGAGACTCTCTGGAAACAAGCACAGGGCTCAACGCTACATATTCAAAGATGAGCAAGCTCCAATCCTTGCCCTCAGGGACTTTCGGTGTAACAGGAAAGAGATCTACAGAGAGAACGCTACAATACGAACTAGAAACAACACAGGAAAGGCATAGAGGGGGCCAAGCATGGGTACAGAGGTAATGCACTGGATCCGCATGGTAAAGGTCCTGGATTTAACCCCCCCCCCCGCCAGATCTCCCAGAGCACACGGGGTACTCGTGTGCCCATGCTCCAGGCTGGCTAAGACTTCTGGGCTGGTTTGTGGTATGAGGACCCCCTTGGGAGTGCTTCTAGGAGAGGATGTTTCTCTCTCCTAGAAGAAATAAATGAATAAACTTTTAAAAAAAGAAAAAAGAAAAGACATAGAAAAGATGCCACAGAAGTTATAGCAGCAAAGTTGCCCTTAGTTGGGAGCCACCGGGAGTGGCTTCATTAGACAGGCACCTACTGTGTCAGGCCATGACTCTACAGGACACTGGGAACCAGAGATGAGTTCTTGGTAGGGAAGGACCATGATCCTAGACTGAGATATTGCATTGGCAAGACTGGAAAGGACAGGGCTGGACCCATGCCCTAGTGGTTAAAGGAAGCTGGATTCCACACAGCTGACCATGGTTTGAGTCCCAGTCCCACACCTTGAAAAATGCCAGTCATGTGTGCGTGTACACCCAAAAATCCCAAAAGAATGGAGAAATAGAGAAGGAACTGCAGCATAACTATGTCCCATTGGGGGTGCTTCTTCCCTCTCTCTATCTCTCTGGTGAGGACGTGTCCTCTGGCAAATTAAAAATATTTTCTTTAAATAAAAAGATTGGGAAGAACAGTTCTGTTCACTGTTGCCAGTCCATGCAAGAGGCACTGCAAGTCTGAATTGGGCAGTGGCAATAGAGATAGGAGAGGAGGAGATAGATTCAAGACTTATTTAGGGAAGTAAAACAGTAGAACTCAATTGACAAGGTGTAGAAAATATGAAAGGGAAATCTAGAATGATTACTTGGTATCTCACATGAGTAGATGGTGACGTATTACTTCAACAATTTGCAAAATGACAAAGAATAAGCTTGTAGTTGAGTTTGGGCATCTGTGAGAGATTCAGATATTGGGAATACCTGAGCCTGAGGCTTAAGAATCTGGAGATCTGGGTTATCAAATAAAGACAGCAGCTAAAAGCTTGAGTAGATAAGACTGCATGGAAGAACGGAGGATGAACTCTGGGGACCATCCAAGTTCAAGAGCAGGCCGAGAAAGAGAAGCCCACCAGGGAGACTGAGAAGTGATTAATGAGGTTGGCAGAGAAGCGGGTCAACAGGGATTGGCTGTATAGGGAAGCAGGGAGGACTTCAGGGCCCAAGGGACAGTGTGACCCAAAGCCCAGCAAGGAGAACACACAGCAGTCAAGCCGGGGACAGGCAGAAGTTCAGTTTTGCAGGAGCATGAGATGGGAGAAAGAGCTAAAAGGGTGGATTGGGACAGACTTAGGCAGGCTTGATGCCACCCATGGGGTTGACCTGTGGGGAGGTAATAGGGATTCTGAACCTTCTGGATAGTCACACTGAGGTGGCACATTAAACGCAGAGAATTTCCAGGCCCACCCTGTAGCACAGTGGTTAAGTGCTGTGTGTGAAAAGTTGGAACCCATGTGGGGACCATGGTTCAAATTCTGGCCTTGGAGGCTCACACCAAGCTTGTGTGTATGCATGCCTGAAATGCTGGCGAGAAGAAGAAATGGAGGGAGACCTTGGCGTGACCGCGCCCCACTGCGGGTGCTTGTACGGGCTCTCTCCCTTCCTCCCCCTCTCAGGTGAGTGCGTGCAACCAATGGCAGTTAAAAAATAAATTAATTAAATAAAATAAAGCAGAGGTTTTCCAGATGAGTAGCTGCCTCAGTTACTGTCTCTGTGAGATGGGAAGTATCCTCCTAGCTGTATCCCAACTCCCCAACTGAGCTGTGGGAGGGGACAAAAAAGGAGAGCAAAAGGCTTGCACGAGTTTGGGTTTTCCTGCTGCTCCCACCCACCATGTGCATGAGACGGGTTGGTTTCCTGGCAGCAGAGCCACGTAGGAGGTTCAGTCTGTTCTCCCACCCACACCTAAACGTCCTTCAACCAAACGCGCCTCGGGCGGGGAAGGGACAGGGTCTTCAACAGCCCAGGTTCTTGAAATTCTCTTCAGGCTGGTCACTGGGGCTTAGCACCGCAGATGGAACCACCCTAAGGGCACAGACACTGTGTCCCAGAAGTCTCAGGGTCTCTGGTGGCTAAAAACCTGTGGGGCTGGCAGAGCCTCGGCAGTGTCTGGATCTGCAGCCACACCACAGAGGACACCGGTTGTCCTCATGGCTTGGAGCTGCAGTCTGTATGAGTCCTATAGAGTCAGCGCCGACAGGTTTCCAGCGTGGAGATCCCATCCGTGGCGGACATCCGTTTTTGCACACTGGCTTTAGTGGCGTGGTTCTCGGGAATGGCTACGGGAGGGTTAAACTCTCCAGGTCAGGAAAGGGCTTGGTTGTAAGAGAGTCAGTCAAGCCACTGGCTGTGAAAGAGCCCAGGATAACGGGAGAGGAAGTGAAATCCTGGCTGGGGTAAAGCCACTCTACAGGGACACGTTCGTTCAGTAAGTTACGACTGAGCGCGATTAGGGGTAGGGGGAGTGGGGATGAGATGAGGGTCCCTCCCTCACGGAGTCCAGTCTAACCAGGGCAGATTCAGGTCTTCCTGCCCACTGTACCCCCTGTTCAATGTGGAACGCCCTTCCTCCCTTTTTGCCCCCTCCTGTTGTGCTTCGATGTTTGTATCACGTCCCTGGAGAGGACAGCACGCTCCCGTGCTGGGGCCCTTTCCAGTGTACAGAGCCCTCTCCTGTCCTCTGCTCACTCACTCCCACTACAAGCCTGCAAGGCAGGAGGAACTAGGCTCAGAGGGAAGTTCAGCTGGCCAGATGCAGTGAGGACAGGAATCCAGGTTCCCCGATCCCTGGTCTGGGGCAGGGCCCGCCCGTCATCCTGTGGTGACAGCGCCTCCTGAAGGAAGGCCCTGCAGTGCTATGCATGCATTGCGTGCCCCGAACACTCATGGTCTTTTTGGATGGTGGCGGGTGGGGAGGCATGGGTTTTTCTGCCTCTTCAGTGTTGCCCACTAGAACTGCGGTGAAATCTTAGTGGTGACATGTCTTTCTCCTTTCTTTGCCTCTAGCAAACTGGAAGGAGGTTTTACTGAAACATATCAGCCCCGACCAGGTGCCTGTGGAGTATGGGGGCACCATGACTGACCCCGATGGAAACCCCAAGTGCAAATCCAAGGTAGGGGCCGCCAGGAGCTGGAGGGGAGCAGGGAAGCTGGATTCAGTGCATGCTGTGGCTTACTCTGTGCCCTGCTTCTAGATCAACTATGGGGGTGACATCCCCAAGAAGTACTACGTGCGTGACCAGGTGAAGCAGCAGTATGAACACAGTGTGCAAATTTCCCGCGGCTCCTCCCACCAAGTGGAGTACGAGATCCTCTTCCCAGGCTGTGTCCTCAGGTAGGAGCCTGGGCCCTTCCATCAGACCCGAGCCTTGTACCCATAGGTGCAGCTGGGTGGACCGGGGTGGGAGAAGCCCTGGTGCTGGGACCCCGGAGAGGTCACTGAGAGAATTATGTCTAAATGGGTGGTATCCCCTATAGGTGGCAGTTTATGTCAGATGGGGCGGACATTGGTTTTGGGATTTTTCTGAAGACCAAGATGGGTGAGCGGCAGCGGGCAGGGGACATGACAGAAGTGCTGCCCAACCAGAGGTACAACTCCCACATGGTCCCTGAGGATGGGACCCTCACCTGCAGCGACCCTGGCATCTGTAAGTACCTCTATCTTGGCAATGCCTTGAAACCACGGCCCAGCTTTGTGCCTGCCCTCTTCCTCCATGGATTCGGGCTCTCAGAGTGTTAAAACTAGCAGTGGTGTTCCATCAGTTCAACCCTCTGTTAGCGCAGAAGGGAAAAGTGGGCTCGAGGAGGTGAAAGGACTTGCTCAGGCTGACCCAGCTGGTTAACTGGGGCTTTGAGCTGATGCTCCCAGGTACAGGGGAATTACAGTCGTAAGTGACCACAGGGGCTCAGGACACCTTCCTGGTCTGGGTTTAACTAGGTCTGTGACTGCCTAGGAATCAGAAGAAGAGAGCAGCAGAATGAGCTGGAAGGGTATAAGGTCACAGGGTGAGCAGAGTACTGAAAAGTCCAGCCTTGACCCCTTGAGCTTCATTTGTTTCCAGGTTGACCGAAATCTAGGCACAGAATGTGAACAGTTTACACAAGAAGAAAAAGAAGGGTAGACAGGCATTTGAAAAGGTGTATAACCTCTCTTGACTTCATAGTATTGATCGCAGTTCCCTCTGACTCAGCACTTCTGCTCTGGAAATGTATCCTATAGAAATATTTACACAAACATACGAGGATGGTCCCAGCAGCCTGGAAGACCGGCTATAAACCAAATGGCTGCAATAAGGTCATATTAAATAAATGACAGTCCATCCCTACAATGGAATGCCATATACCCATTAAGGAGACTAAATCGACGTGTTACACAGTGAGCCTGATACAAGCGTGTATGGTATATATTGACTTTGGTTTAAAAAAAGTGTGTGTATACAGTGAAGAATTCTGGGGACTCCATGCTAATGCTGATAACAGTGGTTCTCTGGGGGGCAGGCAGGATGTTTATAGAGGGCTTTTATTTCTCCATTATCTGCAAATATTATTTTATAATGCTCATGTGCTATATTTACAAGCAGAAAAACCCTATACACACGCGCACACACACACACAACACACACACACAAATCTCTAGTTTCCTTTCTGCCACAGCCAAGGTTGGGGTGAAACAATGACAGCAAGGCTTTATCTTCAGACCCAGGTTGACTCTGATTACTGAGTTGCTGCATGGCCTTAGGCAAGTGACTTCACCTCTCTGAGTTTTGGTATCCACATTGCTGCAATGGGGATGTGACAGGGAGGCCTGATGAGTCAATGGGATAAGGTCTGTGTAGGACTTAGCATGGCGTACAGCAAGCACTCAATACCCTTAGTCACATTTTTATCAGGGCAGGTGGGGCTAGAAGAGCTACCCTGGAGATAATGCTGGAAGATGGGAGAAGCCCTGGGCCCCACTTCTGCCACAGAACCGCCAGGGTACCCCAACTAACCGCACAGATGTCTCAGTCTCTGTGCTTGTCCACACCATCCCCAAACCTGGTCTGCTTCCTCCCTCATCCCAGGCAACCTTCACTCTACCGCCCCCTCCTCGCAGGCGCTCTGTGGCACAATATGGCTCTCCCGGGAGGGGGAGTATTCTTGTTAGCAAGCAGCCAGGTCCTGAGGGAGAAGGCGTATGTATACTGCACGCTTCAGCAAGAACAAGGCTTAGCACTAGCCCAGACGCTCATGCACAGAGGATAAAGCACTTTGTACACATAAGCTTAAGTTTCTTTTTTTAATGGATGGAGAGGCTGCATCTAGAGAAGGGTTGTAATCTCTCCCACAGAGTAGGTGTCATAGCCACCAAAAGACAGAAGACACCAGAGAATTCAGAGTTCCTGGTCCAGGATCTCTTGCCCATTGACTGTCCTGGAGACGATCAGGACATCTGTCATTGATGTGACAAAGAGAGTAGAGTTCCAGGCCATGAAAGTAACTTACCCTGGCTCACAGAGCCAGTAGGAAAGTCCCAACCCATTTCCCAGCATTGCACATTACCCCTTTATCTCCTCTTTAATAGCTGAAGGACCCAGCCTGGGAAGCGAGACCATGACTTTTTAACATAACAAGGCTTAGCTCTGCAAATCCCAAACATATATATATATATATATTGAGAGGTTTTTGCTATAGGGTGCATGCTGCATGCGCTTGCCAGAAAGAGAGAGAGACGGAAAGCAAGAAATCACCCCCCAGGGAGAATGGCCATGCCGCAATCTCTTCTCCTCCATTTTCCTCTCAGGATCTGGGGCATACACACACTTGCGCCCGGTTTGAGTTTAAGCCACCGAGTCCATAACTCGAACTGTGGTTGACTACATGGGAGTCCAGCGACATAGCCATTACGCCAACTGCTGCCCCCCATTTTTTAACTCCTCTTGGAGACATTCCTGACTGGCCTTGACCTGCCTGCAGGGCCCTGACTTTGGACCTGCGTGTTGCCCATTGCCAGGAGCAGAAGTCAGGCCCCAGTGCCCATGGTCCTCCCAGGTATATACAATGAGGGGGAATCAGCTATTGTCTGGGGCCATGTCTCAGGTTAGACACGAGCTCAGAGAGAACCAGTGTTCAGTTACAAACTCATCCGCTGGACAGCAATACCCTTGGACAACCAGGCGACCCCCTGCAAAGTGGATTATGTAATCACCCAACGGATAAATGAAAACCCCAAGCCAGTCTCCAACGGCAAGGACACGTTAACTCTGCTCGGGTTTCTCGGATTTTTGTCCAAGTACACTAAATTACTGAGGAGGCCCGAAGTATGAATTGATTTCACTTTTTCTTTTTCCTCTTACCACATATTTACTGAAGGCCTATTCAGTATAGGATATTCAACTAAGAATTAGGAGATTCAGAAAAAAAGAGATCTGAACTTCATCCACTGGGTGTGTTCCCCGGAAGACCTGAAACACCATGGGAAGGTTTAATAGCCCTGCCAGGTCATGCTGGGGTGAAAAGAGCCCAGTGGACCCCAGGAGGCCTGGTTTCTGAGTCCAGCTCTGCACTCATTCTCCCAGTGTTTTGAGCAAGTGTTTCTAATAATTGGAGTTGGCTTTCCTTCCCCTTTATTAATTTTTAATTGCTGGAGGGCATGTGTGCTTGCCAGAAAGAGACTGTGAGAGAGAGAGAGAACCTTCCCTAGTGCGGCATGGTCATGCCACAATTCCTTCTCTTCCATTTCTCCACCCTGTTGAGCTATGAGACATGCACATAAATACACCCTGTGTGTTTTCTGAGCCACCAGGGCTGGGATTTGAATTGCAGTTGGCCATGTTGGATCCAGCTTACTCTAACCACTAAGCTATGGGGCTGACCTTTCTCCTTTAAAATGGAGTAGACTAGAGCAGGAGATTATAACCTGATATCTATGGACTCGCCAGAGCAATGGTTCTAATTCCTAAAGACTAAACACTCCCCTAAGAAAATGTCTAATATTCTCCTCATTGTTGTGAAATGAAATTCATAGGTAATAGATCCCACCTACACACATAATTTAAAAATTAATACAATCTCTTATCTTAATATAGAAGAGAGATAACAAGCTAATTTAGAATTTACATTGTTTTCTGTTTTTTGAAAGAATTACTTATTTTTATGTACTCATTCTTTTTCTCTTTTTAAAATTTTGACCAGACACACACATACACATACACACACAGAGGAGAGAAAGTGAGAAAGCAAGCCACCAGGTCCAGGACTCGAACCATGGTTGGCCATGTGGGAATGTCCAGTGCCTTAACCACCACACTACCTGCTGGCCCTGGAATCTATATTGTTTTCAATACATAATGAGAGAGCAAGATTACACCTACCTCTGTCCTTTCCTAGACTTCGGAAAGGTACCCTTCCCACTGAGAACTACTATCTCAGAGGGTCTGTGATGGGCTCCAGGAAATCTGAAATTGTGTGCTCTCATGAGATTCTCAAGGTGGGGTCAGTTACCCAACACACAGAGCCTTAGCCTAGAGGATCTCTGGGGGCTCTGCAAGTTCATGGCTAGTGTCAGAATGAACCCTGCAGACTCCAGAGCTGTAGTGACCCCACTTCCTCAGACCTGTGCCTCCAACCAGCCACTTTTTTGCTTTGAGGGCAGAATATCTTGCTAAGCAGAGTCATGTTCAATCCTGGTACTCGGTCCAAGGGGCTCAAAGGGCTTCTCGGCATAATTCTGGTTGCTACAGCTCTGTCACTCAGGGCAGATGCTTCACCCTTTCCAGGACTCTTGGTTCTGAAAATTCCAGTATGAAAGGAATATAGATGACTAACACCACCATGAAGAAAGAGTGGTGTCTGCCCTAGGTCTACACTACGCATTTTACCGAGTGAGTGGTATCTACCCTGTCTACACTATGCATTTTACCTGGTGTCAGGAAAAGGGAAAGGTTAAGTCTTGGGCATAAAAACATAGTTGCTTTTTTTTCCCCCCTTGCTGGGAAAAGTGAAAGACCAGGATAAGGAAAGGGGCAGAGCTAGTGTTTTTGTTTTCACACTTCGTTCTCTTGAAGGGGTGTTTGACCAAAATGGAACAACTTCTCAAAGAAACAGGGCCAGATAGAAGCAGCTGTTCCCTTGCCAAAGCTCAGAAGCTTTCTCTGCCAACTGTGTGCCCATTTTCTTGTTCCAGAGGAAACCACTGCTAACAGGTCTTGTCTTTTGGCCAACCAGGTATTTTCCATCCCTTTGTAGGATTTCATGTTTCTAAACAGCAAGTAAAACACACATGTGTGCATTCACAGGAATTATTCCTGCCATTCAGTGTATGTTTGAAGGAATTTTGAAATTACAAAACTCATCATGGAATTTGAGAAAATGTTCTATTTAGGACAAACATCTGAGTGATATTATCAAAGTGATATCAAAGTGGATCCTGGAAATATGGGTAGACCAAGTAGCAAAGACAAGATTTTTTAGGGCCAGCCCAAGAGCACAGCAGTTAAGCCCTGTATATAGGGATCCCACATAGCTGACTGTGGTTCAAATCCCAGTCCCAGCAGCTTGAAAATCATGCTGGGTACATATGTATGCATGCCCTAAATCTTGACAAGATGGAGAAATGGAGGGAAAAGGATTGTGGTGTGACCATACCTAGTGTGTGTGTGTGAGTGTGTGTGTAGAGGGGGTGTGCATTCTCGCTCTCTCTCACTCTCTCTGTCTGGCAAGTATATGCACCCTCTGGAAATTAAAGGAGAACATTTTTTTAGCACATATATTAACAAAAATGTTATAAACTATAAAACTGTTCTGCAACTTGCTTTTGTGATCTCAGGATATATAGAGGACACTTCAAAAAGTCTGTGGGAAAAGTGGAATTAAAACACAAGTTTACTGGGACCAGCAGATGGTGTAATGGTAATGTCACTGAACTCCCACATAGTTGACCATGGTTTGAGTCCTGGACCCAGGAACTTAAAACTCACACCAGGCAAATGTGCATGCATGCTCAAAATCCTGAGAAGAGAATGGAGAAGAAGGGATTGTGGTGTGGCTATCCCCTCTTGGAGGGAGGGGGTGATTTCTTTCTTCCTGTCTGTCCCTGTCTGTCCAGTGAGTACGTAAGCCCTATAGCAAAAATCTCTCTCTAAAAAAAAATGACAAGTTTATTTTGGTGCAAAACTTTTTGAAATCTATGCATAGTTTTTTCTTAACACTTTTTCCATCAACATTTGGAAGACCCTATAGGTCGGGAACAGTCACTTCCATGTAGCTAACCTCATTTTTTTCATATCAGACTAGTATTTCATCATAAAGATTACAATACAAATTGTCGAACAGTTCTTGATGGATATCTGAGTCTTCCCAGATTTTTACTACTACAAACAGGGATGCAATTAACATCCTTGTCTATTTATCTCTTTTTTTAAAATTGCCAGAGAGCACATCTGCTCACCTGGGAGAGAGAGAGAGGGAAAAAACACCCCCACCAGAGGGGTGTGCTCATACCACAACCCCTTCTGCATTTCTCCATCCTGTCAGGATTTTAGGCTCATGCAAATGTGCCTGGTGTTTTTCAAGCTGGTAGCGCCAGGATTTGAACTATGGTTTGCCATGTGGGATCCGACTCCCTGTAATCACTAGGCTATGGGATTGGCCCTGTCCATTGATCTTTTCTTACAGTAAACTCCTGGTTTCAGAAGTCTGCACATTCTACCTTTTGTCGGAAACTGGACAGGGTTGGGTTTTCCAGGGCCCACGTCAGGCAGGACAAAGGCAGTAATGTGGACCGAAGGGAAATTCTGGCTCCTTCGTTCCCTCACTCTGTGATGTGAGAATTGCACAACCTCCTTTTTATCAGATAGAAAACTGGATGAATGCTGAATTCAGAGCTGTAGTGAGGAAGCGTGAGATACCATGCAGAGATTACTAATGAGCACTATGACACATAGACAGCCAAGGTAGTAGCCTCTCCTTACCTGTGGTTTCGGTTACCTGCAATCAACCACCATCCAAAATAGGCGAGTACAATACCCTGAGATACTCTTCTGACAGAGACCACACTTATATAACTCCTATTATATTTTTATAATTGTTCGATATTTTTAGTTGTTGTTAATCCCTTACTGAGTCTAATTTCTAAATGAAACTTCATGACAGACATGTATGTAAAGGAAAATACATAATCCAGTAGACTCGAGGTTCAGTACTCTGTAGTTCAGGCATCCACCAGGGGTCTTGGAGTGTATCCCTTACGGATAAGGAGGAGGTGGGCTACAGTATAAGAGGGGACTTCAAAACACTGGTGGAACTGAAGTATAAATTTCAGGGGGTCAGCAGACAGCATGGAGGTTAAGGTGGTTGGATCCCACATGGCTAACTGCACTGTTAAAGTTCCAGATCCACTGGCTTGAGAATCATGCTGGGCACACGTGCATGCCTGTGTGCCCCAAATCCTGAGAGGATAATGGAAGAGAAGGGACTGTGTTGTGGTCATCCCCCCAGGGGGAAATATTTCTCTCTCCCTATCTCTCTATCTCTCTGTCTCTGGAAAGTACATGCTCCCTACAGCAAAACTTTTATTTTTAAAAAAAGCACAAATTTTAGGGCTGGTGGTTACAGGAGCCAGATCCCATATGACCAACTGTGTGGTTTAAATCCCACATGCCATATACATGTGGGTGCATGTCCCAAATCTCAACAGGATGGAGAAATGGAGAAGGGATCAGGGTGTGATCCTTTCCCTGTCTTTTCTGTCTCTCTAGTGAATGCAGAAGCTCTCTGGAAATGTTCTTTTTTTTTTTTTAAGTATGAATTTTCGCACAACAATATTTGAAATCTATGTATAGTGTTTTCTTTTTTAATTATTTTTTTAAATGTATTATTATTTCAACTTGCTATAGGATACATGTGCTCACCAGAGAGATAGGGAGAGAGAGAAAGTAAGAAAGCAAGCCACAAGGTCTGGACTTGAACCATGGTTGGCCATGTGGGAGTCCGACCATGCCTTAACCACCATGCAACCTCCTGGCTGCTAGTGTTTTCATAATACACATTTCCCACCAAATTTATGAAGTACCTTTATTATTATTACTATTATTATCACAACTATTACTGCTGCTACTAATTCTATTTCAAAGCCCAGTTCAAGCTCTCACTCCTCTAAAAAAGCCTTTCATGTGATTTCTGTCGGGGAGGGGAAGGGGAGGCCCTTTTTTCAAGCCGTTACAGATGTGATTATCTCACTCTGGTACCTGGCATGTTCTAGCTCATATATTTTTCTCTCCATGAACATCCTATCAACTCATCCAGGTTAAGTTTTAGAAAGTCAAAGGCCATTGTTTCTGCTACCTTCATTCCCATTCCCTCCCTGCTGCCTTGCTCAGTCAATAAAAATCAACAAAAACCACTGTCCCCAAACTCTGTCAGAACTGCCTAAAGGCCTGGTTTTCTGTCTCCCCTCAGATGTCCTGCGGTTCGACAACACGTACAGCTTCATTCATGCCAAGAAGGTCAGTTTCACTGTGGAAGTCCTGCTTCCAGACAAAGCTTCAGAAGAGAAGATGAAACAGCTGGGGGAAGCCACCCCAAAATAACGCCTCTTCCTCTAGCAGGCCGGCCCCCTCAGTGTTTCCCTCTCAGTGTCTACCCCTTGTAGCAATGATTTTTCCCACAACCCTACAGCCCAGAGAAACTGGGCTGGAGGAAGCTCAGGCTGGATCTAGAGATTCATTTCAGAATTAGCAAGGGGGAAAGTGGCTGGAGTGGGTCTCCTTGCCTTTTACATTCCTAAGGCGTTCCCAGGGGCTGGCCACTGTGACAGGATCCGTCTGTCCTATAAGCTGTGCCAGTGACACAGGGAAGGGAGTACGGCCGGCCGGGTAGCGGCAGGGAACAAATTAGAAAAAAGACCCAAGCCTTCAGGGAAGCCAGCTGTAGGGGAGGAACTTGCTCCCAATTGACTTGCCAGTGTAGATCACAAGGAGTAGCAGGTAGCTGGTTGCTAGGCTTATGGTGGGGGTCAGAGGCTGGGGTACCTGTTGGCTTTTCCCAGATCTCAGGAGATAGCCTGAGTTCACTCGGTGAGGACCTCCCCAACCCACTGGCTGCCTCTTTCATGACTAAAGATTGTTAGTGACTCAGAACTTCCTGGGACTTCAGGCCCTAGCCATGGTTCTCGGATGCAAATCAAGCACAAAGGAAATTACCTCCAGGGATCATAGCTCCAGGAAGAGCCGGGAGGCTGGAGCTGAAATATTATAAAGGGGGGAGGAGGGGGGCTCCTAGTCTTCTTTTCAGTGCCACCAGCCTCTCACCAACTCACCCTTCATTCGAGCACCCCAGACCAAAATGACAGGTGGGGCCAAGACTAGCACTCAGGGCATTTCCCAGTCTGAGTCTCCCACGGTGCCTGCCAACTGCTCCCTGACTGTCCCTAACAAGGCCTTGGCAGTCGCAGCTCTGCGGGAGGCGTAGAACTAATGGGTGCAGTGGGTTCTTCGTGCCTGCTGGCTAGCCCGGGCCGGGAGCTGCCGGGCAGAGGCCTTTGGTTGAGCCAGCACTGGCAGAGCCAACAACGCCCGGGGGCGGCCAGAGGCAGCCTCACAACCACAGCACTTAGCTACACGCCCCGCCTACGAACCCCAGTGCCGGGCTGCCCAGAACGCCCGAAGGCGACCCCAGGCCTCGCGGACCCAGGATCCCGGCCTAGTTGTCTCACCAAGCTGAGGGAGCTCGGGGCAGGGCCGGCGCGGACCCGCGGGGGCTGAGGCCGCACAGAAGGACATGCCGGCCTCGGCTTACAACGCTCTGCTAGGAAAATTAACCAATGAATAAAGCCACGTTCAGTGCATAGGAAGTGGAATTCAATGCCCACCTCCGGGTTCCTCGCTGTCCCTCACTCAAATGCCCAAATTCCAGCGGCACCAGCCGTCCCGCAGCGGCTTCGCGCCACTAGGCGGGGCGCAAGTGCAGAAGTCCTCGCCGTTCTCTCCTCGCGTGAGCTTCCCCATGGGCCTAAAGCCAGCTGGCCTTCTGATTGGCCCAGCCGGTGGTTGTCTTCCGCCATCTTTGCTCAGGGCACTAACGACGCTCCTGAGCGCCTTCACGGTGAGGGCAGAAGCCCCGCCCCACTTGGCTGCATAGTACGTGCCGGGTAGTTCGTGCACGCTGGCAAGTGCTGGTCCCGGGAGCGCTCGCCGCGCCTGGGGGGCCCGCAGCGGTGGAAGGAGGAGGAGGGAGATCACGTGGTGTTAGGGACCGTCTCTTAATTCTGCGCCAGCGCTGCTGATGTTTCAGGGACTAGGGACAGCTTTGGTCCTTCCCCTCCCACCAACGTCCCCACCAAGCCCAGGTCCTTCCAAGGTAACCGCTGACTGCACTGCCCGACACGACCCTACAATAATAGAGGCGCCTGGCGAAAACGGGGGCACCACTAGGGAGTCAATGATGTTCATTTTCCATCTTTATTTGATGATAATAAAAGCTAAATCTTAATAGTACCCAGAATGCTTTCTAGGTGCCATGCAAAAAAAAAAAAAAAACAACAACTTGTGTTTAGCGCCCTGGGTTGTTGCAAAGGCTTAAGGAAATAATATGCGCAAAGCGATTAGAAGAGAGCCTGGTACAAGCAGGACTCAGTACATACTGGCTACTCTCATTTTTTACAGACGTGGAAACTGGGGCTCAGGCTCAGGGCTAGTAGACATCCAACTGGAATTTGAATCCAGTGGTCCGCCTTTTGCCTCCCTGAGAGGCCCCCAGGATTCAGAGTTTCAGCCAAGTGCACTCATTTGCTCACATGGGTAAACTGAGCTCCAACAAGGGGAGGGTTTGCTATTGTCATCACTAACCCTCAAGTCCCCTCATTCTGGTCTCTTCATTTCCCTGGAGTCTGGTAAGCCAACTCTGTCTCCTTTGCCTCATTCATTCATTCATTCACTCACTCAACGTCCTGCCCCCAAAAGCTTCCATCTAGGGACCTACCAATTCATTTAGATCTGAGTGCTTGATAAACACGACACCTGCCAAGAAGAGATTGCAGGGTAGGGGCCCCCACCTTTTCAGGACACCCACCATTCACTCCCCCAGCCTCATTTACTGAAGTTGCCATAAAAGCATGGGATCTGGAACCACAATAGGTTCGAATCCTGGGTTCGCCACTCAGCAGCTGTGTGTCCTGGGACAGTGAACCACCTTCTCTGTGCCTGTTTCCTCACCTGTAAACCAGGGTTCCAGGTTGGTAGGAGGGCTTAGCAAGTAAGAATCCTTAGAGAATGCCCCGGCCAGTAGTAAACTCACTAACTGATGACTGCTACAATGAGCCCTCGCATTCAGCTGTGTCATGTCCCCATTTTATGAATAGATAAACTGAGGCTCGGAAAAGGAGTCTCTTGCCCCAGGTCACACAGCCACGACTGTAGCCTCGCCCAGTCCAAACTCCAGCCTCTTTGGCTGCAGAAACAACAGTCAGTCCTGGGAAAGGTTTGCGCCGATCGCTCAGAGAACACGTGAGGAAAACCAATCTGTAAAGCCCGAGCTTGGGAGAGGGGCTTTGGTGCGCGGAAGAATTTGCAGATACTCCCTGCCTGCAGAGATCGCTTGACCTGTCCTTCAGCCCGGACCTTCGGCTGGTCCCGCGGTGGCGACCCGAGGGCTAGTGGAGGCGGAGGTGGCAGTGGAGGCAGTGCGAGCTGCAGTGGC